CTACAGTTCTAGGGGAATCCGAAGCCCTCTTCTGACCTCCATGGCATTGCACAACATGGGTGCACTCACATACATGCAGGCAATACACTCATACACATAAAATAAAAAATAATAAAATATTTTTAAAAAAAGAAATGAGGAGTCTTAGATTGTCCCACAGGTCACAGAATGCCAATTCCCGATCCTGACCAGTGGCTCCCTACAGAACAGCACACAGGACCAATGTAGCTCTGTGTGGGGGACAAGGCAGGGACCTGTTTCAGAGGTTTTGTTTGAGACCCCTAGTAATGCAGGGAGGACTGTTTCTTCCCTTTGATTTGCAGTCAGTGCATGTGAAAGAGTCTTTCAGTACTTCAGGCTCTGACTCTTGAGGATTCAAACACTGACATCCTCAGGGATGTCTGCAAATGGCCAGGGACCCTGACTGGCACTATGTTGGAAAGCAATGGACTTGGCAGCATCAGGGTACTCAACCCAGTCATTCCTCCAGGACAAAAGGCACAGAGAAGAGAAAGGAAACATACTTCCTCCTACACTCCTGGGAAAATGCCAACGTCTCCTTTAGCCTCCTACCTGAAATGCCATGGGGCATCTAGAAGGTCTGCTTCCAGTTTTATCACCTATTACCCCCTGATATGACTTTCAGGATCTACCTAAAGAAACATACTTCTTGGGCTAGAGAGAGGGATCAGCAGTTAAGAGCACTGGCTGCTCTTGCAGAGGACCCAGGTTCAGTTCCCAGCATCCACATGGCAGGTAACAACTATCCATAACTCCAGTTCCAAGGGATCCGACCTCTTCTGACCACTGCAGGCACTGCATAACAGGGGTGTACCCACATACATGTAGGCAACACACTCATACACAAGTAGCCATGTGGAAGGACGCTTTTGTACTCTGCTTACTATGACCAAGAAGTGGAAGCAAAGGCTAAATAAAATGTCACGTCTCTGTTACACCACTGAGCCATGAAGTGATGAGGCTACAGTTCCCATAGATGAAGAGCTGTTAATCCCCAAAATATATAAAGAACTCCTGAATCTGGGGCTGGAGAGACAGCTCAGTGGTTAAGAGCACTTGCTGCTCTTGAAGAAGACTCAAGTTTGGTCCCACTGCCCATGTTGGGTGGCTCACAAGTGCCTGTAACTCCAGCTCCAGGGGATCCAATACCCTCTTCTGGCCTCCACAGGTATCCATATACACATAGTATATATGCACATATACACATTTTTTTTTATTTAAAAGAAAAACTGGCCAGGAGGGGTGCCGCACACCTTTAATCCCAGCAGAGACAGGCAGGGAGAGCTCTGTGAGATCGAGACCAGCCTGGTCTACATAGAAGTTCCAGGTCAGCTGGGGCTACCGTAGGAGACCTTGTCTCAAAAAGACCCAAAAACAAACAAAAACCCTCCTAAACCTAACAACTACAAAAATGCCCAAACAACCCAACTCAAGGACAAGCAGAGGGCTTGACCGACCATTTCTCCAGGGAAGATACTGGCCAATAGGCAAAGGAAGAGCTGCTGGAGCTCACATTACTCATCAGGGGAATGCCAACTTCAAGACAGCACTTCATGCCCACTGGGAGAGCTGCTATCAAGAAGAGAGAACAAGCACACCAGGAGGTAGGCAGAAACAGTGCAGGCTCTGTGGACGTGGTGTAGTGCTCCTCTAGAAACTAAGTGAAGAAATTAGAAACAACAAAGGGCCTGCAAGATGTCTCTGAAGATAAAAGTATTTGCTGCCAAGCCTGACAACCTGAGTTCAATCCATAGGCTCCACATGGTAGAAGGACAGAATTGACACCTGCAAATTGTCTTCTGACTACTACACATGGCACATACATGCATACACACACACACACACACAAAATACCTAAATACTGTTGAAAAATGTTTATAAAGAAACTAAATGGTAGAGACTCCGACATATGTTTGTGCACTAATGGACCCAGAGAAGCACTATTCACAGTAGTCAAAAGGCAAAAACAATGCCAATTGACTAATCAGTGAATGGATAGCCCCCAACACACACACACACACACACACACACACAGACACACACACACACACACACACAGGAATGTTATTAGTCTTAAAAACAGAAGAAATTCTGATACATGTAACATAGATGAACCTTGAGCCATTATAAGTAAAATAAATCAGTCATAGAGAGACAAATGTATGATTCCACCATACAAAGTGCATAGACATGCAGTAGCCTATGACTAAACAAGGTGTGGGCAAGCTTATATAGGCAGAAAAGACAGCAGCTTCCTAGGGCTGAAGACAGGAGAATGGGAGTAGTATTTAACGAGTGCAGAGCTTCACGTATGATGAATAACTCTGCAAATGCGTGGTGCAACTGTGGGGCTGCGTGTGGAGTTCAGTGGGAAAGTGCCTGCCTACTGTGTACAAGGCCCTAGGTTTGATCTCCAGAACTGAGAGAAAGGGTGGGGGAGGGAAGAAGGGGAGAGAGAAGGGGGGGAGGGAGGGAGAGACAGAGAGAGAGAGAGGAAAGAACAGAGAATACTTAATGCTACAGAGTTAAACATTTAAAAATGGTTAAAATTGGGGCTGGACATGGTGGTACATGCCTTTAATCCAGTACTCGGGAGGTAGAGGCAGGTGTATCTCTGTGAGTTTAAGGCCAACATAATCTACATAGAGAGTTCCAGGCCAGTCAGAGCTGCTCAGTTGGAACTTGTTTCAAAATAAAGTGGTAAGTTTTATGTTATGGATATTTTACTCTAAGTTTTAAAAAATCAAAAAATCTGCAAAGGGGGGATGGAAAGAGGTCTCAGTGGGTAAGACCACTGGTTGCTCTAGCAGAGGACTTGGGTTCAGTTCCCAGAACCAACATGGAGGCTAAAAACCACTTGAAATTCCAGTTCCATGTCTGGCACCCTCTTCTGGACTCCATAAGCACTGTACTCACATGCAAATACCTACACACATCCACATAAATAAAAATTTTAATGGGCAAAAGGCCTGAGCAGGCAATTCACAGAAGATAAAATGTATCAGGCCAATAACTTCACACCACTAAAAAGAGAATAAAATATAACTAAATGTACATAAATGAAAAGTTCACTAATGTATATTACATAATTTAGTTATGAAAACTCTATATAATTGCAATGAGTATACAGAAATACATTTAAATGCACAGAAAATTGTATACTTAAATGGGGAAATTGGTCATACATTACTTGTATTACTGAAGATTCTTTCCTTCCTCCCTTTTGCAGTGCTATGGATTGAACCCAGGGTCTTATGCAGGGTCTAGGTAAGTGCTCTACCACCGAGCTACATCCCCAGCTCTAAAGACTATTTCTCTTTTTAAAAAAATATTTTATTTAGGGACTGGAGAGATGGCTCAGCAGTCCAGAGCACTGACTGCTCTTGCAAAGGACCCGGGTTCAATTCCCAGCACCCACATGATGGCTATGAACCATCCTTAACTCCAGTTCCAGGGGAATCTGAAACCCTCTTCCAACCTCTGCAGCATTGCATGACACGGGTGCACTCACATACATTCAGACAATACACTCATAAAATAAAAATAATAAATAAAAATATTTTATTTATTATTTTTAGTTTATGTGTATGGGTGTACTGCCTGCATGTATGTTTTAAGTGTACCTGTGTTGTGCAATGCCCACAGAGGTCAAAAGAGGGTGTCAGATCCCTTGGAAACATGGATGGTTGTTAGCTGTCATGTGGGTACTGGGGATTGAACCCGGGGCCTCTGGAAGAATAGCAAGTGCTTTTAACCACTGAGGAATCTCTCCAACCCCCTATTTTTCTTTTCAAAAAATATATTATTTATTATTTTTATTTTATGTGTATGAGAGTATTGCCTGCATGTATTTGAGTGTACCCATGTCATACAATGCAGCGGAGGTCAGAAGAGGGCTTCAGATTCCCCTGGAACTGGAGTTAAGGACGGTTCATAGCCGCCCTGTGGGTGCTGGGAATGGAACCTGGGTCCTCTGCAAGAGCAGTCAGTGCTCTTAACTGCTGAGCCATCTCTCCAGTCCCTTCTCTCTCTCTCTCTCTTTTTTTTAAAGATTTATTTTTAATTCTGTGTGCATGAGTGCAGTGCCTGAAGGGGCCAGAAGAGGGCATCAAATCTCTTGAAGCTGGAGTTACAGGTGATTGTCACTGGATGGGAACCAAACTCCAGTCCTCCAAGAGAGCAGAAAACTCTGAGCTTCTAAGCCAACTCTCCAGTTCCCTAAAGACTATTTCTAAGAAACAAACTAGGAAAGGCCAAGAAGCAGAGCAGAAGAGGGAACCTGTGGTCCAGGACGGTTTTCTTACCAAACATGGGTCATGTGTGTCAGCAGTGAGGGGAGTGCTAAGGTCAAGGTTAGGACAAGGCTGAAACCTCCTTCATACTACCCCATGCAGACACCCCAGCTGTTTGCAATCTGTGAAATGTTTTTTAGAACAGGGTAGTAAAGGAAATAACTTTCAAATGTCTTATGCAAAACAGCAGGCCTGTTTTATAAAGATTTCTGTGTCTAAGATCCTATGCCCAAACCTCAATGAGGTAACTTCAGCTGTGTTTTCTGTGTTGTATGTGTGGTATATGTTTGTGTGCACTTGTATATATAGGTGCGCATGCCCGTGGACACCAGAGGTTGGTGTCAAATGTCTTCCTTTATCACTCTCCACCATATTTTTTGGGACAAAGGCCCTCACTGAACCTGGAGCTCACCAGCTAGCTAAACTGGCTGAGTCCCCAGGATCCCTGTCTCCACCTCCCAGTGCTGGGATTATAGGTGTGCACACTGACCCAGAGTTTGATGTGGGTGCTGGGATCTGAACTCAGGGCAAGTTCTCTACTGAGCCAACTCCCCAGGCCCCTAGCTGTGTACTTTTTAAAAATATATTTTATTTATTATTTTTTATTTTATGTGTATGAGTGTATTGCCTGCACGTATGTGAGTGCATCCATGTCGTGCAATGCCACAGAGGTCAGAAGAGGGCTTCGGACTCCCCCGGAACTGGAGTTAAGGACAGTTCGTAGCCGCCATATGGGTGCCGAGAATCGAACCCAGGTCTTCTGCAAGAGCTGAGGCCATCTCTCCAGCTCCAGCTGAATACTTTTTAAATCTGTTTTTTATTCTGCTGTGAGAGTAATATATGCTACTGTGGAAGGAAGCAGTGTAGTTCTTTTTAAAATGTTTTTAAAATTATGAGTAACTGCACAATAACAAAACAGTCACTGCCAACACTAGCCCTTTTTCTACCCAGCCTTTGGAAGTTCTTACCTGCTGAAATCACATCACATTTTCCACCCTGGTCTTTTAAACTTAACATTATCATCATCTCTGACCTTTCCCAAATTAAAAACAAACTGTTAAAAAAAGTGGCCCTATATGCCTGCATGACCACATGCCACTGGTTGCTTCATTTTTGGTCAGATGTAAATGCCCTTAAATTTTCTGCTTTTTGCCATTTCAGGTGAGTGCTAAAGATCTCTGTCATACATCATGTGACATGCAGATGTTAACAGGTGCTACCAAGGATGGTTTTATAGTGGAAAACCGACTCAAAAGTGAAATTGGGGCCTGGAGTAGTGACACACACCTTTAATCCCAGCACTTGGGAGGCAGAGGCAGGTGGATTTCTGTGAGGTCAAGGCCAGCCTGGTCTATAGCAAGTTCCACCCTAGCTGGGGCTATAGGAAGATCCTGCCTCAAAAAAGAAAAATAATAAAATAAATAAAAATGAAATTGGATTAGGTGACTTCAAATCCTTCCCCAAAAGGCTGGAGAGATAGCCCAGCAGTTCAGAGCACTTGCTGCTCTTTCAAAGTTTGGTTCCCAGCACCCATGTTGGATGGTTCACAACCACCTGTAACTCCCGCTCCAAGGGATCCAACATCCTCTTCTGACCTCCTCAGGCACCCCTTCCCTGCCACACACACATGGGATAAATTCACATAGACATACACTCATAAATTAAGAAGAGAAAAAAACTTTCACATTTTCCCCAGACAAAACAAACTGACTCTCCAAATCCAGGATAGTACTCAGCTGCTCCCAAGCTCCTTTGTCCCTAGAACCCTGTTTTCCTGACTTGTGTGGTTACTGTAGGCATCTCTAACTGCTGCCATCAGACAGGCCTGTAGACATGAGATTACCAGCCAGATGGTACTTGACATGCTGCAAGGCCTCACCAGGCAGTTTCAAAGCACTTTCCAGAAAGGTTACACTAAGATCCTCCCCCACTGGCAGTGTGTGGGTGCTCTGTCCAACTGCCAGGACTGGGAATTGGCTTTATTTTCGCTGACAGGCCAAAACACAAAACAAAACAAAACAAAACAAAACCCAGACAAACCCAAGGACCATTACTTTTGTTTCTTTGATGATAGTTCAGCTAAACACTATAGGACTAAATCATTTCTTTTGTCAATGATCTTATTTCTTAGATTAAATATATTCTTCTTTTCAACTTCAATAATTAAAGTTCTCATGTGGTAGTGGGCTTTTTTCCTTTAAAAGCTGCTATTAATTGGAGTTGGGTTTCATTTTTGTTTTTTCTTTTTTGAGACAGGGTCTTATTAGGTAGCCCCAGCTGGCCTAGAGCTCTGTATGTAGACTAGGCTGGTCACCAAATAGAGATCCACTTGCCTCTGCCTCCCAAGTGCTAGGATTAAAGGTGTGCCCAGCTTTAAACTGGCAATTTTAAAAATAAATGGTTCCATCATCTTTGATTTTAAAAAAATCTGGGGCCAGTGAGATGGGTCAACAAGTAAGGGCACTTGCCACCAAGCCTCAGAATCTGAGTTCAATCACCAAGATTCACATAGTAGAAGAGAAAGCTCTCCTCTGACCTCCACACATATACTGTGTGTGTGCACGTGCGCACACACACACACACACACAAGTAATTAAAAAATATTTTAAAATCTGATTATATCTACTGGGTTTTTAGTAGGCTTTTGTCCCTTGAATGTATCTTCTACAAAAAGGCTGTCAGGTCTTTCTTTGCCTGTCACCTGGACTTTGAAAGTGTGAAGAGTCCCCTTTAAGTTTCCACTGTACCTTTAAGGAGGTTCAGCAGTGTCAAGGACAAGTACTGGTGTGGGGGGGGCTCCTGCTGGTCCCTGGTGTACTGGGTGGTGAACTCTTCCAGCCACTTGATGAATGCAGGGCAGGCAGACAGGCCCTGCAGCAGCGAGTTCATGAAGCAGGTATTTCCTAAGTTGACAAGGCCAGGCACAAGCCCTAAAAAAAGTGGGGGGAAGAGGAGAACAGTCATCACACTGGACCAACTTCCTTTTCTCTCCCATCTGGGACCCAAAGTCTCTGCACTGGGGTCTTCGGTTTGGAATTCTGATGTGAGAAGGTCTTATGCACAGAGGTCTGGACACTGGGCACTCGATCTATGCCCAAGCCTGGTTCTGCTCCTGTAGACAGTAAGCTGTGGGAGGAAAGGCCTTTGTCCCTTGCTCTTTTTAAAACCCTTCAAGTATCTGGCACAGATATTAAACAGACAAAAACAATGAGCATCTTCCATTCTCTCCCTCCTCTCCTCGCTCTCTCTTCTTTAGAAAAGTACTGTTTCCCAGAACAGACATTGTGCTGTTGTTCCCCCAGGATGATGCTTCTGTTCTATCACAGTCAGTGAGAATCACCACTCTACAATTCTCATCAGTCTTTCTGCAACAGAATCCAACAAAGATTGGGTCTCTATGGGGCCAAGGCAAGCCCCGAGCTCAAGATTGTGCTATTCAGCCCCCTGAGTACTGGGATTAGAGGTGTGTGCTACCACACATAGTTTAGATAACCTCTGAATATGAAAGTTTTCCAACACATGAGAGAATACGCAATGAATGTTATCACAACTATTCCCACCTTTAACAATGAACCAATTTTGCAATAAAAATGTAACAGATTTTGCTCCCTCCTCTCTCTCCCCCCTTTCTTTCCTTCTCTCTCCCTCCCTCCTTTCCTGTCTCTCTCCTCTCCCTCCCTCCTCTCTCTCTCTCTTCCACCCTTTCCCTCTCACCACTAAATTCTTAATGCTAGGTAAAGATACATTTACAGAAGAGGCATTTAAAAAACAGGGATAACACTTGAAACATTTACTGGTTATGAACAGCTACTCAGAGAAAGCACATACCTGTGACATCACCAGTCAGCTGCACTATGAAAGCACAACTGCATACTGATGAGAATGCTCAGACAATCCAGCCACTTCAAAAGCATAACTACAAAGCATGTTTATTTTGTTTTTGTTTTTTTGTTTTTTTTATTTAGATAGGGTCTTGTTTATGTAGCCCTGGCTGGCCTGGTACTCACTATAGCCCCAGGATGGCCTCAAATTCACGGCAATCCTCTTGCCCCAGCCTCCTGAGTGCTGGAATTAGAGGCACCAGACCAGCACAAGGTATGTCTTAAATTCAAGTAGAGGAAGGCATTGAAACAGAAACCCTCTTACTATGGGGACCAGGTAAAAGCATGGTCTCAAAAACTGAAGTTCTCACTTGGAAGACACGGGACAGGAAGCAGCCTCTCCCGGCCTTCTCTGCTTTCAGACACAGGGGGTTTGACTCATGTCCACAAAACTGCAGTGGCAGGGCCAGCTCTTACCTTTTCTTCGCTTCTTTCTTTCCGTAATAGGACCCCAGATAACATAGATTCCTGCTGCAAGAGCAGCAGCAATTCCCCCTATAACGCCCCAGTTCTTCATGACTTTGTATCTGAAAGAGAAAAGACAGTAGGGCGGGGCACAGATGCTGGTAAGGAGTGACATTTTGTCAAAACAACCTACCAACCACTGAACTTTAACCCTAAGGAAATACAACTTTCGTGAAAACAGGATGTTTAAGCCTAAGATCTAAAATCTAAGAAAGCACAATGCTCTACAAGCTCTGTTTCAAGGGTGAAGCTGGAGTTTCCCTACTCTTGTCTCTTGCGCTGCAACCACACTGGCCACCATGGCAGCCAGAGCTCCAACCCCAGGGCCTTTGCACTGCTATACCCTCAGCTGGGAATGCTCTTCCCCTGGATCACAGCTTGGCTGCTTCTCCCCCTTTCCTTTTCAAATCAGCCTACCCTGAGTACATTCCTGCACACCTTCACTCACTCATACTTCTTGTTTACCTCACACTTACCACCTTCTAACAAAAATCCACTTGCTCACTGTGTTTGCCCTCTGCCTTCCTCCACTGGAATGGGGCCTGCTTTTCCTCTGAGGTAGGTTTTAAAAGATCTGCTTCTATTTCACTTACTGATACATCCTAAGTGTCTAAATCATGTCTGGAACACAGTGAGTGTACAACTATATTTAATGAATTGAACAATGGACAAATACATAGAAATGGACCTGTGTGTGTTACTGGGTCTCAAACCTAGGATCTTTCCCATGCTTAGCAAGTACTCACTGAACTACAACCTCAACCCCATTCCCCTTTTTTCTTTTTCATGTGTATGGATACGGAGTGCACATGTGTGTATGCATGTTCTCATGAGTGTGGGTGCCTATGTGTGAGAGTGTTCGCTGGGGTTCTCAACAGCCACTCTCCACCTTATTCATTAAAGCAGAATCTCTCACTTGAACCCAGTGATCACCAATCCAGCTAGTCTGGCTGGCCAGCTTGCCCTGGGATCCTCTGTCTCTGCCCTCTCAGTGTTGGAGTATGCAGGGCCACCCCACATTTACATGGGCTCTGGGGATCTGATCCCAGTCCTCATGCTTGCTAGTTGTACAGCAAGCACGTTAAGTGCTAAGCCATCTGCCCAGCTCCCTCCCCTTTTATTTTATTGATGTTTTGGGATGGAGTCTCTCTCCCAAAGTTCCCAAGTTCTTCAGGCTGGCCTTGAGTTCACGCTGTAGCCCAGACTGGCTTGGAACTCACAGTCCTGCCTCAGACTCCTGAACAGACAGAGCTGCAGCACCAGCCCTCACTCTGGAAATGGAGTTCTCTTTTAGAATATCAATGCAACAGAGGCTGGAGAGATGGCTCAGCGGTTAAAAACATTGGCTGCTCTTGCAGAGGACCGAGTTCAAATCCCAGCACCCACATGGTAGCTAACAACTGTCCACATCTCCAGTTCAGGGACTCTGACGCCCTCTTCTGTCTTCTGTAGGAACTGCATGACATGGGTACACTTACACGCATACATAAAAAAATTTATATTTAAACATTAAAAAGGAATATTAATACAACAGAAGATCTTCTGGATATTTATAAAATTGAGGATTTTTCATTCCAGGCTTGTTGTGAACACCAACACCATTCTTTTACTACAAATAAGAAAACTACACCATTTATTTAAAATAGCATTTTATACACAGTTCCTTATCTCCATCAAATGAGGCAAATCATATATAACTGTAATATATACCTGCATATGTTACATGTGTACATGTGTGTGATACATTCTTCCCCAATATTTGAATTGTGTAAATATTGATCTCGGCTCAATAAGCATCCACTCATAGAGCAGTCACTAGGAATAACAGTCACTGTTATACAACAATCAGCATTGTTCTATTGTCACAGATAACAAATAAATACTGTCACTAATAACAAATTTTAAATAAATCTTTATTCTTCCAGAACAGAGTCTATAGAATGTACCCTGGGCAGACCCTGGAACTGCATTCCTCTACAAAAATGACATCAGGAAGTGAGTTGGGGAGCCTGGGAGTGAGGACCTACAGAACGGCGCCACTGGACTGGATAGCCACTGAGGGCTTGAAGCATGATAACAAACTCTTCAGACCTACTCCAGTCCCTGAGGAAGCCAACCAGAGCAACAGGTCCTAATCACTTAGGGTGAGCAGTGGGGGTATGGTGCTTGTGCGAAACCCTGGGGCCCTTGAGAGAACAGGCGAGAGAGATAGAGACAGTGACAGGACTGGGGACGGAGACAGGGGCCCTACGTTTTCACAGGACTGGGCACCTTTAACAGATTGAGGGGCTTTCTTTGACAGTTTAGGGGTTAGCACAGGTGTTTATTCACACTAAGAAGGTTTGGGACACAGAAGTAAGACTTCTTAGCACAACGGGTCGGGGAGGATGACAGGCTTAAGAGTACCGACAAAGTGGGGACCGGGATGTTTGCAGGCCTGGGACACTTTAAAAGATTGTGTGAACCCCTGCAGGCCTGGGGAAACTGAGGAAGCACCAGGTCCAGGATTGAGTGGGGAGGTCTTACGAGCCTGGAGGGCACTGTGAGGGCTGTGGGCCTTGATAATTCGGGACCTGGACTGGGGAGCCCTGGAAATCCGGGGACACTAGCAGGACACGGCAGTGGCGGGGGCGGGGGGCACTGTCAGGCGTGGAAGTGAAGACAGAATAGGGGCTGGTGCAGGAATAGAGGTTCCGCCGGGTCTGTCGCACCTCCCAGCTCAGGGCCATGACCTCCCCACCCTCAGGAGAGCAGGTGGGGAAGGGCCGCGCAGGCCCCGGCCCCCGCCGCCCCGCCCCCCAGCTCACCTGACGGCCGCCCCGGTGCGAAGGAAGCGTTGGATGGCCTTGTCAGCCGCCGTCCTCGCCGCCTGGGCTCGGGAACTCAGCATCGCGGCCGCTCCACAGGCCAGCCGCCGCCCACGCTGGCCCGCCGCAGCCTGATGGAGGGCTTGGGAGGCTCCGGAGGTTCCTGAGGCTCCCGAGGCGGCGGAACCCGCGGCCACAGCCCCGCCTCCTAGGGGGAAGGTAAGAAGGAGGACACACTCCCGTCCCGACCGGAAGTGGCTCCTGCCGGAGAGCAGTAGGCGACGAACAACCGGTCCGCTTTTCCTTTTCCCTTGGCAGCCTGCATTGGTTGCTAAGGGAGGCCCAGCAGCCCAGACGCCATCAGAGGTTGAAAGTTTTCAGATTTTGCCCAGGCTTCGTTCACGAGTGCAGACACTCCGCTTTCAGGAGAGATCCTGGGTCATCTTTCAGTGTGGAGAGGGAGGTCTCCGCCCGGAAGTGGGGTCAGCACTCTTGTTACCTGATTTTGAATTTAGGTTTGCGCGCGCGCGTGCGCGCGTGCGCGTGTGCGTGTGTGTGTGTGTGTGTGTGTGTGTGTGTGTGTGTGTGCGCGCGCGCGCGCAGGTCAGAGGACAACCTGTGAGAGTCGGTACTCCCCTTCCACTCTGTCGGTTTCAAGAATCAAATTCAAGTCTTCACGGTTGGCGGCAAGGGCCTTTACCTGCTGGGCGGACTCGCCGACCCGTTTCATGTATTTTGGTAAGGGTCTAGTTTAGAACTCGTGTTCTTGCCTGAGATCTTCCGGCCGTGCAAGGATTACAGGCATGCACTACCACACCCAGCTGCCACCATTATTGCCATCTGGATATAAATAGGTTGCTGATTGTAGAGGAAGAGCCTTTAAAGGTGGACCATCTCAATCTTCATCAAATAGAGAAATTGAGGTCTTAAATAAAAGCCACCAAATTTACTGCTTACTTGACTAAGGTCATGTTGCTAAACACTGTGATATTGTTCACATCGAATCTCCTCCACAGCAACCTTAATAGTATGTTTAAACTTTCAGGAAACCCAAGAAATTTAGCGAAGTATTATAGTTAAGAATTTGACATAACTAAGCTGGAATGGAGTTTGTGGTCAAGTCTAGGGCTCTAGAATAGCTCTGTCCACTAGGAATAGAACAGGGCACTGTGCTGATAATTTTTAATTGTCTTAAAAATTGAATTGTCTAATAGTCACATTAAAATACAAAGTAGAGGTGAAATCAATTTTTTATTTTTTATTGTCTTTTTTGAGACAGGGTCTCCTTGCAGCCCTGGTTGTCCTGGAACTCACTAGGTAGACCAGGCTGGCCTCAGACTCACAGAGATTTGCCTGCTTCTGCCTCCCAAGTGCTGGGTTTAAAGGTATGCACCACTACACCAGGCTGAGTGAAATTAATTTTAACAATACATTTTAAGTTGGGTGTGGTGAGTCACGCCTGTAACCCCAGCACCAGGGTGGGGGGGGCACACTAAAGAAGGATTAGGAGTACCAGAGACCCTGTCTCAAAAAACAAGAGCAAAATAAAACTCAAAGCAATGTATTTTTCTTGCCCCATATATCCAAAATGTCATTTCTATTTAAAACAGTTGCATTTTGCTTGGTTTGAGACAGAAGGTCATGTAGCACAGACTAGTCTGGAATTTACTATGTAGCCAAACTTGAACTTCTGATCCTCCTGCCTCTACCTCCTGAGTGCTGGGATTACAGGCATGGATCACCATGCCTGGTTTATACGGTGCTGGGGATAAACCTAGGACCTCAAACAAGCTAGGTACATGGTCTGCTGGTGAGCTACACCTTCAGTCCATGGGCTAACCACTTTTCATGTGGTCAGTGCACATGGCACACAGAACGTGAGGACCAGAGAGATTTTGCTATTAATCACTTTCTATAAGTCTAGACTGAGTAATTGCTACTGCTTCAGAACAGGAATCTATGGGTTAGTACAGTGGTTCTCCAAGTTTTGGGCCTGACAGTTTCTTGTGTGCTTAAAAAATTGAGAGCTTTTATGTTTGGGGGTTATAACATCTTTTGTGTTGGTTTTGGGGTTTTTTTTATTCATTTATTTTTACTTTATGAGTGTTTTACATGCATGTATGTAAGTGCACCCATGTGTGCAGTGCTTGTGGAGACCAGGGAGGGTTGGATCCCCTGAACTTGCAGTTAAGGACAGTTGTTAGCCACCGTGTGGATGCTGGGAGCAGAACCCAGGTCCAGCGCTCTTAACTGCTCTGCCATCTCTCCAGCCCCCTGGTTTTGTTTTTTGAGACAGGATCTCAAATTTCTCCTTCTTCCTCCATCTCTCAAGAGCTGGAATTTCAGGTGTGCATCACCATAGCTAGCTATGTGGGATATATCTTACTCTATTTATCCTGCTAGGAGTTAAAATTTAAAAAAGAATTTTGCTTTTCAAATTGAGATACAGTTTACCCAATAAAAGTCATTTTAGAGGGCTGAGGAGGTAAGCCTGCTTGCTGCTTACCTGTGATGACTTGAGTTAAAATCCCCAGCACTCATGTAATCTCAGTGCTGTGGGGAGTAGAGACGAGAATCCCTGGAGCTTCCTAGCTGCCAGCCTAATTCAAGGCTTAGCTAGAAACCCTACTTCAAGACAGTTTATTTCAGTTGTCACTTGATGAAATTCAGAATTACCTGGAGATGGGCCTCTGCATGCCTGAGAAAGATGATCTTGATTAGGTTCACTGACTGAGAAGACCTGGCCACTGATAGCACCACTCCCTGGGTGGGGCTACTGGATTATAAAAAAGATGACCTGAGAACAGGTATCCCTTGCTTTCTGCTTCCTGATGGTGGATACGATGTGCTGAACACCCTCAAGCACTTGCTGCCTGACTTCCCCACAAAGGTGAACTATAACCCCCTTAAGTTGTTTTGTCAGAGTATTTTATCATATCAGCAGAAAAAGTAACTAAAGCAAAAACAATGTGTGACAGAGTAAGACCCCTGATGTCCTGCTCCTCCTCTGCGCATGCAACGTGCACACCCCATGGTCATACTCATGCACATACATAGGCACATACCCAAAAGAAGACACAGAAAAATGATTTTCCAATTTTAATTTTCAGCTATGAGTTTTTGTCTTTTCCTTCTTTCAGTACTGGGGATTGAATCAGGGCCTTGCATCTGCCCATATGCTAGACAAGTGCTTTGCCACTGAGCTACATTACCTATCTATCTATCTATCTATCTATCTATCTATCTATCTATCTATCTATCTCTATATAATTTATGTATCTATCTTCTATCAATCAATCATCTATCTATCTATCTATCTATCTATCTATCTATCTATCTATCTATCTATCATCTGACATAGGATCTTGCCAGGTTTCCCAGGCTAGCCTTGAACTAGCTATGTAACCCAGACTGGCCTCAAACTTGCAATCTCTCTGGTTCAGTCTCCAGTATATCTGGGATTATAGATTTGTACAGTCACAATCAGTTGTAAGTTTTGACAAATGCCTAGTCATGTAACCACCAAACACAATCAAGATACAAAATTACCACCGCCTCCAAATTATTCCCATTGCTTTGAGTCAGCCCCTTCACTTACAACCAACTCTTCCAGAAAAGTCTTTGTGTGTGTGTGCACGCATGTGTGCATCACAGCATGTGTGTGGAAGTCAGAGGACAAACTTCTTGTCAGTCTTTGCTCTCCACATTGTTTGAGGCAAGCTCTCTTGTTCACCATGGTGTATGCTAGGCTTGCAGACCCTTGAACTATGGGGATTCTTTTCTGTCTCTCATCTCACGGTAAAAACACTCAGATTACATTGTAATAGTATCATGCCCAACTTCCTTTCTGGAGATTTGAACTCAGGTCCTCATGCTTATGTGGACTTTTTGCTCACCAAGCCATCTCCCCACCCCTTCTCATCCAACTCTTTGACAACCACTGATCAAAACAGTTGAAAACCCATGAATCTTGGAACCTATATTCTATTGGATTTTGGGACACTGACCATATCATCTGTGGTTTCTGGGAAACTCCTACCTAATTCATGAGTGAGATTAAGAAAGGTGAATAATGTCATGGTATTATTATGAAAACGGTTTTGGCCTCAATAAACTCTTAAAAGTTCTTGAGTATTCTCAATACTTTGAAAACTACTGCTTTGGCCTGCTGGTGGATACTCTATACCCCACTGGCAAATCTACTCAGGGATTTGTAATCCAGACCATCTTAAACAGTTGCATTTCTAGCGTACCCCAATCATCCAAGTCACAAATTTTAAATCTTTTTAAAAATATTTTTTAATTTAAATTATGTATATATGTATGTTAGTCTGTATGTGCCTTTATGGGGTAGGTGCATATGAGTATAGGTGCCCACAGAGGGCATCAGATCCCCTGGAGCTAGAATTATAGGTGGTTGTGAACCCCTTATGTGGGTGCTAGGAATTGAACTCTGGTCCTCTGCAAGAGCAATACATGCTCTTAACCGCTGAGCCATCACTCCGGCCCAATGCCCCCCTCCATTTTATTTTGAGACAAGGTCTAACTATGAGGCCAAGGATGGCCTCAAACTCCTATGCAGCTCAATCTGGCCTCAAACTTAAGATCCTCTTGCTTCAGCCTCCTAAGTGCTGGGATCACAAGCATGTACCATAATGCCTAACTTCACAATGTCTTGGGACTATCACGTGCCTTATTTAATTCTTGCAGTGACCACATCAACCAAAACAGTACTCCATATCTGATGGCATTTGACAACATTGATGCAACTGATCACAGTTTCAGAATTTGAATAATTTCTTCCGTTGCCTGGCACCAAGTAGGGGTATTTCTGTCATTAACTCATAGGTGTTACTATAAATATATATATGCTTTACTAATTTCTAATAACCCTGCACAAGAAATCAACTCTGACATCGGTCAGGGATTTGTGCACTTTGAGAGATGACAAGGTGATCAAAAAATAAAAATAAGATGGGAGACGCAAAACTCGATGCAGTTGGAGCAACTGGAAAAACATTTGGGCTGTCAGCCAGGGCCCAGGGTCCTGAGTTGACCACCTACCAGCAGACCAAGCACAGCAGGTGTTTGTTTTGTTTTTTGAGACAGGGTCTCCCTGTAGCCCCAGCTAGCCTGGAACTTGCTACTTCAGGCTGGATTTAATCTCAGAAATCTGCCTGCCTCTGCTTCCTGTGTGCTGGGACTAAAGGT